GCCTGGGTTTGTGCCGCGAAGGTCCAGGCGGCGCTGGCCGGACGCGCTGCCCCTCCGCCCGCGCGCAGGCGGCTCCGGATACTGCCCCGCAAGGCCTCGGCCTCTCTGGACCCCAGGCAGCCAACTGGGGCACGTCCCGCGCGTGCCAAAACCTCCCTTTCGTTTCTGGTTTCTCCATCTCCTCCTGCCTTGTGTGGCAGCGTTTTTAAAACGAAAAGGCCAGATAGAGCCAGGCTTTCCACAGGCCTCTTTAACTGCGTGTTCTGGAGCCGGTGGTATCCTACATATCTGGCTGGGGGGGAAAAAAAAACAACAAAAAACCAACACGATTGCCCTGGGTTATTTGTGACAATATTCTCAGAAATACGCTCGGGCGCTCGGCCTGGAGCAGGCACGTGTAGGCGGGGTTCTCATCTGCCCCGCCGTCCTTAGATGAAGACATTGGCCACCGCCGTCCTGGGGCTGGGTTCCTATACACCGAGCAATATGTGTTTCCCCTGCTTTTTTGGTACCAGGTTGCCTTCAACCTTTAAATCCAGTTAAAAATGTCAACCCAGCCCCCCGGCAGCGCACGGAGCCGGCCAGAGGCCCCGCGCCTGGCTGTTCGCTTCTCTGAACGTTTCTGTCCGCGCCCCGCGCGCGACCTGCGCGTCGGTTCTCCATCCAGTAAGCAGCCCCGGGTCGCGGCGCGGGGACACATCCATCCCCGACGAGTGCCCAGGAGCTCGGGCTGTCGCGGGGCCGCGTCTGGGCGGCGGACAGGGAAGCCGGCCCCAGGCAGCCCCGAGCTGGGAGAACCCCTTCCCAGCCAGCGGGCAGGCCAAGGGCAAGAGAGGCCCCGCCTGGCGATCCGAGAGGCCTCTGGGGTCCCCGCCGGCCTGCACCTACCTGGGGCCCCCCGTGACCTGGGGAGAGAAGCGGTGGCCACCGATCTGCTCCGTGGCCATTTATTTGTAGTTACATAAACGGAGCTTTCCATCTGCCGCTTGGATACGCGGCCGCGGACGGCTCTCGGGAAGTGATAAAACCCTTCTGACAATCGGATGCAGTGAAATACTGTGTCTTATGTAATGAAATAGGATGAAGGCGCGTGTCCGTAATACCAACGTGTGTGTATGAACAGGGAAAGAAGGGGGGGGGGAGAGCGAAACACCCGGGAGAGATGTCAGCCAAAACCCAGTCCCCAGTTTTATAGCGTGTGCAGCGCGGAGATGCAGGTTGTAAACATTTTGTGGGCTTGGCAGAGACGGTTACAATCCAAATAAATGCGCCGCGTGCAGTGTTCACGGGGCTCCCGGGCGCCTCGAAGAGCTCTCCGTGCGCTTTCGAGTTTTCTCGGGGAAACCATCCTGCGCCCGGGCGGATCCTCGCACCCGCTCTCCGGGGCGCCTCCTGGCAGGCTCCGGGCGGGTTCTCCACTCAGGGTGGGGGGTAGGCTGGGCCTTGGTGGGGGTCCCCTCCCTCCTCCTGGCCTCCTGAGCAGAGGATGCCCGACCGAGCAGCCGCAGCATCTCCACTGCCCAGGAAATTCCGCGGCGAGAGAAAGCAGGCGCGGCTTCCACGACGTGAGCGCCCATCCTGGGGCTGGGAGGCTGCTTTAATTATTTTAAACATCACATTTATTTTACAATAACCAGAGAGTCCCTGGTCTGTCCCCCCAAGGATTCCCATCTCTAGGCAACTCTGCCGCCAGACCTACACTGGACAGTCACCAAGGACGTCTTTACGCCCGATTTCCAGCCGCTTAAATTTTATTGTCACGTATTCAAGGCAGCCGAGTCCCGGGGTCCTGGCTCACCCGCGGGTGCTGGCTCCTCGGAGCCTTTACCAGGGCGCAGCTTTTGGGGGTCTCCCTGGCCCCAGGACCTTTGGCACGATGCGCGCCCTCTGCGCACCCTCTAGGTGGGGGTCACCAGGTCCGGGGGCTGTAGGCCTTTCGTCCCTGTGTCTGTCCGCTGTCAGCCGGGTTCTCCGAGCGTCGCGCGTCGCCGAGACTGGTCCGGGGCTGGGGACGGTGACCCTGGAGCGGTCCCCGCGTCTGGAGCTGCCGTCCTGCAGCGCTAGGCCCGCGGGGTGGAGGGGGACGGGAGGGGGCAGGCCGGGCGAGCCCCTGCCGCTTGCTCGTTTCCCAGTGAGGCTCCCATCGTGGCATGAGCAGGACGGAAAAAGACACCGCCGCCGTTCACACGAACCTGGGGCTCCCCTGGCAGCCAGGCTCGCGTCGAGTCGACATCTTAGGAACTTTCCAGGGTCGCGGCGGCGGGAGATGGCGGCGTGGCTGCCTCTTGCGTGGAGTCACACTGCCATCTGCTGGCCAAGCTGTAGTACTGCAGCCCCGGCTGCCGCGCCTGAACTTCCTCGGCGGCCGCCGGGGACCCCACTCCCCGAGGCCCGCGAGGGCCTGGTCCCCGGGGGGGTCTGCGTGGAGCCCGGAATCGACGCCGCGGAGAGGGCAGCGCCCATAAAAGAGGGCCGTTTCCGCAATCGCTTTATCGGCGGCAGACAGAGCAAACAAATGAAAGGGCTTTGGTGGAAAATCTTAATTGGGGCTGGACAGTTGTAAACTCATTAAGGGCCGAATTCCAGACAGTTCGCAGACCCGGCCTTTATGGCACAACCTTAGTGCCCATTCTTTGAAGTTCCTTCTGTCTGCAGCAACAGAGGGCGTCGCCCCAACCTGGCGGCGAGGTGGGGATGGGGGGGTGAGGGGACACCCCGTCCCCGGCGCCCTGGCTCCCCTTTTACTCGTCGGAATACAGAGAGATACCTTCGCAGAAGTCGGGGGGTGGGGTG